GGAGCCAGGCGGGAGTTCAGGCTGCTGTGTGCTCTGTATTCCATCCACCTATACACACAGTGCTGGCTCTGAGTTACTCTCCCGCTGACCCTGTGCGCCTGAAAATTCTGGCACATGGCCCTGTTCTTGAACTGAGACACCTCCAAAGGCCAATGGCCATATAGGCCCACACAAATGTATATGTGTGTCCTCAGACATAGTGACATGTGTATGACACACACTGGCTACACACACTCACATACACATTTACACACATGCATCTCGCCCCGGCTCACATGTGTGCATAAAGGTACTCATGTACATCTTTGCATGTGTCTACACAGCTCAGACACCTCAGGCACACATACATCCTTACACCCCCAGTTTTAAATTCAGAGAGCTTCTGGGCTCTGTGATGACAGTGAGTGGTCCCAGGTACAGAAGATGTGAAGCTGGGGACAGGCTGGGCTGGGTTGTTACTGTCTGGGGAAGGATGCCCTTGGCCAGCTTTGCAGAGACACAGGTTACTGATGACGTGAAGGCCCTGGTAACGCACATGGTCACCTAGCAACCCTGTCTCTGCAGGCAATAGCTCTGCTTTTCCTAGCAACCTTGGCCCACGGTCCCCACCTGCCCTCTCTGGAGCGTTCCTGAAGTTCCCTGCCAGGCCACTGGTGTGGTTAGAAGCAGGAAGGACCGGTGGCTCCATGCTGAGTCAGTCACAGCATCCTGGAAGCTGTTGTCCCGGCTGACCCCGGGCTCTTCACAGCTCCACTCATATGCTGCAGTACCAGGCTGGGCGTGATTGTCCCAGCCCCAGGCTGACCTACGGCAGCATGGGCCCCCCTACCAGCAGAGCCCGGGAGAACCAAGTAGGTGGCTGATCCCGTCTCTGAGCGCTTATCCTCTTTTCCTTCTGAGCTGAAATTTCAGAGGAGGAACACGCCGAAGGTGACCTGCAGACCAGAACTTGGGGGGCATGGCCTGTGGTGGGTGGGGGAGGAGTCGGCTGCTAAGCTTCAGACGCTGGCATGGCTGTTGCATCTTAACCCTTAAGCCGGGGCCTGCTGGAAGCCTGCCTCAGCGCATCTCTGCTCTTCTGCTCAGAGATCCCTGGGGCTTGGGAACTTTCTAGAAGTTGAGGGGCTACTGCTTCCAGGCTGGACAAGAGGAAGCCATGGCAATACTGTGCATACTGTTGAGTGGGAGCAATATAGCTTTGGAACATGGACCCCTCTGCAGCCCTTGGTAATGTGGACAGGGCCACTGTTGTGCCAGTAAGTCGCTTTGCTAACAGAGCTTGTTTATCAAAGCATGTGCGCAGTGTCCTAAACTGCTGCCCAGGCTGCCTCTGGGATTCGCCGTAAGGATACGAGCAGTAATAATAAGAGCTGCCAGACGCCGGAGGGACAGCAGGAACGGCCGGCCCATTACCGAGCCCACTTCACAGAGAGGGACACTAAGGCTCAGAGCTGTGTTCTTGGCTGCCCTGCCAGGAAGCACAAGGCTGGCTCTGGCTCCTCCAAAGGGAAAAGCAGACAGAGCCAGCGTCTCACTGTGTTTAGAGAGAAGCATCCAGAATCCCGAGATAACACCTGGCATTCTTATGGCTTTTCCATTTCAGGTCCCCTGACCCTCTGTCCTCAGGCAGCCCACACAGGGCCCTGTCTTTTTGACACAGGAATAGAAGAGGTAGCCTGGGGGTTCCAGGCATGGCGGCTTGCCCAGGGCCATAGAGACTTGACACTGGATTTGGACGAGGGGGCCTCAGGCTAGTGCTGCAGATGGAGCCCTGTGGCTGTTTCCAGAAGAATCCACTCAGACCCTCAGTGCAGGAGGCCCAGCTGCATGAGGCCAACTGCTGCTTGTGGTGGGAGGCATGGCACTAAAATATGTTAGGGATCCAAGAGAATATTAGAATATTATTTTGACTGAACCTAGGCCTCATGAGTGTCAAGCAAGCTCTCCAACCTAAGAAACTTTTAATTTCTTCTAAAAAACAGACCCAAAGAAGAACTTTTAGATTTAAGAAAACGTTGCAAGTTATAAATTGGCATTGTTTTCTTCAGACAATGCTACCAGGAAGTAATTTTAACACATTTTTAGGGGTGAAGAGATCCATATCCCGGGTCATGGTCAAAATCTGGTGTGAGGCAGTGGACTCTCAGGGTGGTGGCGGAGCAAGCGTCTGCACCTGGACTCAGCAAAGACCGCGTGACCACAGGCTGTCTCGGGGCCTCTCGGAACCTGTGTTTCCTAAGCTGGGATACTTTCACCACAGCCCTGGCAGGGTTGTTTGGATAAAGAAGCAGGGAGATGGCAATGTTGTAAATAGCTTGGCACAGACCCTGGCACACAGCTCATGGAAGCTGCCACAGCCATGGGATTACAGGCTCATTCATAATCCCGGGCAGGAGATTCCAAACAGACGCCACTACGTCCTGTCTCAGCGCCTGCTTACCCACCTTGGGAGAGCTGAGACATGGCCCTTTGGGTAGACCTGACACCTTGAAACATCTGCTGTGAACCCCTGGGGACAGGGCTCTGATGAGGAGGTGGGGCTGTCAGGAGGTAGGACCTAGTTCTCACTACAAAAGTCACATTAGAATCTGAATCCAGAACCAGGAGGATCACAAGTTCTAGGTCAGCCTGCGATACATGGCAAGTTGTAGGCTAGCCTGGACAACATAGGTCCCATTCAAACACACACACACACACACACACACACACACACACACATACACACACAGAGAGAGAGAGAGAGAGAGACAGAGACAGAGACAGAGACATGTGCACTCACATGTTCTTAGCCTCTAGTTCTGAGTTATCATTCTAACATAGGGGTCACATCAGACAGCTAAAGGCTCAATTCTAACCTATTGACTGAATCTCGTGTGTGTGTGTGTGTGTGTGTGTGTGTGTGTGTGTGTGTGTGTGTGTGTGTATGTGTGTGTGTATGTACGTTTGAAAAAGATTCTTATGTAACTCAGCCTCAAATTTGCTATATACCAAGGCTGGTCTTGAACTTCTAATTCTGCCTCGACCTCGTGAGTGCTGGGATTGCTAGAGCCCAGCTCTTCTATGCTAACATAGCATCCAATGTCAGGACAGTCTACCTGAAAAACCTGGTTCAGATTCCTCTGGAAAGTGAGGCGATCTGATACCCCTGACCCCTCATTCCAAACAGAGTGGGGTCCCATTCACACACACAGGAGCCCTTCTGTTTGCCTCAGTCTCCTCCCAGCCCCTCCAGAGGTGACACCTTTGACATCTCTGTGTCCCCTGTTGCTGGTCAGCGTTGGCCTCCAGCAGGGTTTGGAAATGCCAGCCTCCACTAACACTGGCTCTTTCCTCTGTCCCTTGGGTCGCAGTGTCCTGCTGGATAGCTGTTTGGTGGTGGAGGCTGATGTGGACCAGTGCCAGCTAGGCAGGACACAGCCACAGACAGCATCACTCCAGGTAGAGTCCCAAGCCCCGGGGACCTGGGGCCGTTGATGGGGTAGCAATGGGGTTTGCTGGTGAGCTGTCCATAGGACAGAGAAGGCTGAGGCTGAGATTGCAGGGGGATCCCCAGGGGCTGGTGTGTGGAGGGAGGTGTGGGCCTGGAGTTAAAGATTCGGGAGGTGGCCGCTTGGGTAGCTCTGTCTCCTTGAACAGGGTCTCACGGGGTCCCTGGGTCTAGGGCCTTGGACTTCAATGCACGCTGCCCTCTACAGGTGGTAAGCCACCTCCTCGGATGGCCCAGGAGATGAGCTACCCCCACTGTTCTGGGTGGGGCAGGAGTTGGAGGAGTCCAATGAGGCACCCAGTGTCCCCTCTATGTGTCTCTGCAGGAGTTGCCCGAGGAGGAGGAGGAGGTGGAGGAGGTAGAGGAGGAGGCCACCAGCTCAACAGGTAGGAGTGACGTTGTACAAGGATGCCCTGGGGACTAGCGGGCCAGTGGCAGCTTGGGTGGGGGGCTTCTTCCATACCTTTCATCTCCGTCTTGCCTGGGGCCCCTCCATTCTGTCCTGGGCAAAGATTCTCTTCTGTGACTTGGGGCCACATTATTTCAACTAGATGACGTAGTTCAAAGACATTGGGGAAATGAATGATGCCCAGAGACTGGGGGGGGGGTCTCGCCCTGCCAGCCCCTCAGGCCATTTCCTCTCAGGAAAAAAAAATGTAGCATAAGCTGTGCAGAGACCCTGAGGGTAGAGGGAGCAGAGCCTGTAAATGGCATGACCACCCCCCATCTCTGTGGTCACACCCCATCCTTCTGAGCATGTCCTGGGTGGGCAGCTTCATCTGTACCCAGCTCTGTACTGTGGTCCTCTCTGCCACCCCAATCTCAGTCCTGGAATCTTAGTCAGCGTTCTGTTGCTGTGAAGAGACACCATGACTTCAGCAACTTTTATAAAGGAAGACATTTAATTGGGGCTGGCTTACAGGTTCAGAGGTTCAGTCCATTATTGTCATGGTGGGGAGTGTGGCTGCACACAGGCAGACATGGTGCTGGAGAAGGAGATGAGAGTTCTTCATCTGCATTGGCAGGCAGCAGGAAGAGAAGAGGG